GACCAGGCTGGCCTCGAACTCCCGAATGAATGCTGGGCTTAAAGGCATGTGCCACCACCGCCCAGCCGGAACTCATATTTTTAAAGCGACTTGAATTGTACTAGATTGATCTCTCCCTGGACCCATTCCTTTTTTTTTTTTCATGCTATTTCTTTTGCTTTAGAGTTGTGTCTTCTGACATGTCACATGCTTTTGACTACTCTTTTCTCTTTTTATGAACCAGAAGAGAACTTTGGAGAATAAGAAGTACTCTAGCTCATGTATAGATTTACATGTAACTTTGCGACAGATCATTAAACTCTCATTCTCTTCCTCCTTTGCAATATAGGTCTGACCCATCTGTTCCCCTAAAAGACTGTGCTAACCTATTAGATCTTTGAAGTCTGTGTAAAGAAAAACAAGATTGTGATAATGCTGTTTATTGGTTTTTTTGTTTGTTTGTTTGTTTTTTTGAGACAGGATTTCTTTGTGTTGCCTTGGCTGTACTGGAACTTGCTCTGTAGATCAGGCTGGCCTTGAACTCATGGAGGGTGGGCACCTGCCTCTGCCTCCTGAGTGCTGGGATTACAGATGTGTGCCACCACTGCCCAGCATCTATATGCATTTTAATATATAGTCTTTAGCCTTATAGTATCTTTATATATCTTAATATTTTTAATAGTCAGAATTTTTGAGTTACTGTGTTGGTTACCACCAAGAGGAAGATACGGATTTTAGAGTTGGAAATGAATGAATGCAGCTGTTAGTGACTTAGAGAATGCAGTGTTTTATTTTCTAACTACCTGAGTATTTTAGAGAGGCGAGCCATATGCCTTGGTTCAGTCAGTATCTGTGGCCTTGCTGTCAGAGGGTAGAGACTGTAGACAGGATTAGATGCTTTCTTGTCAGTCCTTGGAGGTTTTCTTGTAGCTTTTTCCTTGACTGTGCTGCTCTGAACACTTAGTTGGTAAGTGAACTTGTTTAGCCTAGAAGAGTTTCTGAGAGTCTTGGCATTTCTGAGGTCTGATGTGATTTGCCAAAGACTGGGCAGTTTTAATTCTGCCTCACTCTTGATATCAGAAATAGTGTTTACATGAGGTGGTGCTGATTAGTGATGTGGACACATAGGTAAGAGTCAGGGGAGGGGAAGGGTAGTGGGACAGTCGATATAGCTTGGAAGTTTTACTCTGGAGTTTAAGAAAAGGAATCCTGTTCTGTTGAAGGGAATAGCATCACATGTTCTTGCCTGACTTTAACCTTCTGAACTGCTCCCTGGCACACTTGAGTGTGCTTTTCTTGTTGCCCTCAAGTAATTCTGAAGTTCATGGCCTGTTAGTTCAGGCTGTTCTAGCAAACCCTAGTCATACCAACTCCAGGAAGGGCTAGCTGCAGGCATGAAGTGTGTGCACACATTGGAGATGAAAACCTGTGTAATAGTGTACTGCTGGGTTTGGATTTGTTTGTTTTCTTGAGACAGAGTTTCCCTGTGTAGCCCTGGCTGTCCTGGAACTGGCTCTGTAGACCAGGCTGGCCTCCAGAGATCTGCCTGCCTCTGCCTCCCAGGGTAGGATTAAAGGCGAGCCCCAGCACCGCTCGGCTTTTGGTTTATTCTTAAGAGGGTTTTGCTCTGACTTACAGAAGCTCAAGGCCGCTGCATGGCTTGTTTCTTTAACACAGTGGTCTTCATTTTTCCTGTCTTGACACATTTTCCCATTGCGCTGCTTCAACTAGTCCTAAGTGGCAAGTGGCAAGCTGCCCTCCGCCTTCTTCTGGTGGGCATCCTGTCTGTGTCACAGCTTGAAGCCACCAAAATGAAAGGATTCTTGACTGCTTCAAATGCGGAGGGTGACAGAAGCTGAGCTGCGTTTCTTGAGCCAGAGAATGGACTCTGTCAGGGCAAAGAATAGTTGCAGAGACACAAACTGGGACCTGGAAGCTGTGACTAACATTTTGGCAACATGCATCCCTTTGCCAAATCAATTCTTTTCTTTAAGAGTGTGATTGTTGATCTCTTTCTCAAAGTAAGCTCTTGTTAACTGTTCTTCACACAGCTCCCAAGCAGAAGCTGGCAGAGTTCCGGTTGATTGACTGTCTTTTGGGGATGTATTCCTTGGATTAGAGTGCATGGGACGTCCCACGTCAAATGAAGTCCTCTGCTAGATCTCAAGAGCTGCTCTGCAAGGAAATAGAGGCAGAACTCTCTACAGTGTGTTTGGCAATTCTTCTAAATTCAAATCTACTTCTATTTATCTGGTGATTAAATGCAAGATGGCCAGGGCTACACAGAGAAACCCTGTCTCGAAAAACAAAATAAATAAAATTAAAACAACAACAACCAAAGAATATTGAAAAATGTTAAATATAAGCCAGATGTGGCTCATGCCTGTAGTCCCAGTACTTGGGAGACTGAGGATGACTGCAAATTCAAGGCCAGCCTGGGCTACAGAGTAAGAGCCTGTCTTAAAGGGGATGGAATCTAAAGAACTTAATGATATTGTTAGAGAAAAAAACTGTTGATAGGTGTGTTAATATCTAAGCCAGTCTTTAATAACTTAAGAGTTTTGATTTGGCATGCAAAGAGATTCTGTGAAGGCACATAGGTTATCAGATACCTGAGCAAGGCTTGGCTACCTGGCTATCTGGCTATCCAGTTGTTTATTCTTCAGGAGGTAGGTAGTTGAAGATGATGTTTTCTCTGCTGGATTTTTCGGGTCAGGGTGCCTATGAAGATGTTTTCTTGACTATATGGCAGTAGCCTCATAACGTTGGCGGTAACGCCAAAATGATACACAGAGAAACCCTGTCTGGAAAAAAACAAAACACAAAAAATATTATTATTTATTTATTTATTATTGTATATATGCATGGTGTGTGTGTGTGTGTGTGTGTGTGTGTGTGTGTGTGTGTGTGTGTGTAAGGGGGGAGTACTTGCTGGGACGTGGGTTGGTCAGAGGGTTACTTTGTGGAATTGATTCTCTCCTTCCACCTTTATGTGGATTCTGGGGATTGAAGTGCGGTTGCCAAGCTTACCCGGCAAGTGCCGCCAGCCACGGAGCCATCTCACCATCTCTCCAGCCCTGGAATATTCCATTTTTGATACTCAGATTTGAAAACCTGGCAGTGTGGCTAGTGATGTAGCTCAGTGGAAGAGCACTTGTCTAGCATAGCCAAGGATAGAGTGGGTCCCCAGCATCCCTCTCCCTAGGGGGGAAAAAGGCCAACAGGTTTAGATATAAAGATTTTGACTCTGGTCCAGAGCTTTGATTTTTGATTGTGGCAACAATACAAGTTATGTTTATGTCCCAGATCTTTCTTTTCTGAAAAGTGGCAAATCTGTATGTAACTAAGAAATGTGGTAAATTTCATCCCCTTTATATTGATTTAAAAAGGTGTGTGTGTGTGTGTGTGTGTGTGTGTGTGTGTATGTATGTAGTGTGTGTATGTATGTGTGTGTGTGTTTTGAAGGGGTAAGGGTGTGCATGCCACTGTACACATGTCAAAGTCAGAGAACAAATTGATGGGTTCAGTTTTCTCCTACATTTATGTGGGCTCCAAGGATTGAACTCAGGTCATCAGGCTTGCGTTGTTGAGGGGCATACGCTACTTAGCCACTTCACTACTTAGCCCCCTTGTTAAGAGATTTGGAGATAAGGTCTCACTCTACGGCACTTCACAGGTCCCAACTTCCTAACACCATCAGGTGTGGCTCACAACTGACTAACTCCAGCTGCACCTTCTGGATACTGTGGGCACTCACGTATGTGGCATGCACTCACATAGACACACACAACTTTTTTTGTTGTTGTTTTTGAGACAGGGTTTCTCTGTATAATAACTCTGGCTGTCCTAGAACTCACTCTGTAGACCAGGCTGGCCTCAAACTCAGAGACCAGCCTGCTTCTGCCTCCCAAGTGCTGGGATTAAAAGCATGTGCCACCACCACTGGGTGACACACAACTTTTTTTGGGTTTTTTTTTTTTTTTTTTTTTTTTTTTTTGGTTTTTTGAGATAGGGTTTCTCTCTGTAGTTTTGGTTCCTGTCCTGGATCTTGCTCTTGTAGACCAGGCTGGCCTTGAACTCACACAGATCTACCTGGCTCTGCGTCCCGAGTGCTGGGATTAAAGGTGTCCACCACCACTGCCTAGTTGACACACAACTTTGTTTTTTTTTTGTTGTTTGTTTGTTTTTTTGTTTTTTTGTTTTTTTCTAGGCAGGGTTTCTCTGTGTAGCTTTGCGCCTTTCCTGGAACTCGCTTTGGAGACCAGGCTGGCCTCGAACTCACAGAGATCCACCTGGTTCTGCCTCCCAAGTGCTGGGATTAAAGGCGTGCACCACCACCGCCCGGCGACACACAACTTTGTAAAGAGAAATAAAGATGAAATTGGTGTTTGCAAATTTTATATGTTAAATTGTGGTGGAGCTTGTTTATAATCCCATTATTGAGGAGGTGGAAACAGATGGATCAGGAGTTCAAGTTCAAGGCCTATGTAGGCTACAGGAACCCTGGTTCAAAAAAACAAATACAGTTTCTATTTGAAATAAGTAATACAACATTCAAATGGCAAAGAATAAGTGAAGCTGAGCTTGTTGACTCATGCCTGCAATGTCAGCACCGCAGAGGCAAAGGCAGAAGGGTTGCATTTGAGGCTAGCATGGGTTCAAGGTTAGCTTGAGCTCTACGGCAAGACCCAAAGGCTGTATGTAGCTCAGTGGTAGGACAATTGCCTAACAAGTGCAAGGAGGCCCTAAGTCCCATTCTCAGAATTGGGGGGGGGTAGGGGTATATAATACACTCTGCCTTTGGCTTGCCTTCAGCTCAGTTCACCTGTTCCATCTTTACAGGATTGTGAACTGCCTGACATGGGTGCTGGGAATCGTATTCAGGTCTTCTTGCAAGAGCAGTGTATTCTCTCAGTGGCTGAGCCATCTCTGCAGCCTGAGGGGACAGTTTTGAAAACCAGTGTAGCATACACTGTTAATACTACCTGCATCTTTTGGTTTTGGTTTTTGTTCTTGTTTTTTCACACATGGAACGCTTCATGAATTTGCATGTCATCCTGAGCAGGGGCCGTGCTAATCTTCTCCATATTGGTCCAGTTTTAGTGTATGTGCTCCCGATTGAGCATACATCTTTTGTCTTTAAATGTATTTTGGTCATTATTCCCCATTAGTTATAAATAGATTTGCCCTATCCTGATACAGTTTCAAACTCTTTCATGCTATGCTCCAAAATTACCACAACGTATTGAGCTTTTGAAGTTGGATTTAGGGTTTTTTTTCTTGGTCTCCTTTTTCTATGAACTGAACTCTAACCCAACCCTTAGCTCATTAGAAAGAAATGACATATGTGTGCGTGATTGCTCACACATGCCTGTGGAGGACCGAAGAGGTTGTTGCCAGACTCCATCGAGCTGGAGTTACAGGGGATTGTGAGCCGGCCAGTGGGGAAGCTGGAATTAAATTTGGGTCATGTAGAAGGACAGCAAGTGCTCTCAGCAGTGGAACCATCTCTCTAGCCCCTTGTTTTGTTTTCTCAAGGCAGGGACTTGTAGCTCAGGCTAGCCTTTAAGTGTGTGCCACCATGCTCACCTTTTTTTTTTTTAAATATGTTTTCCTTTGAAGTAATTCTGAAGCTGGGAAAATAAGGACATTTTCCCTAATGTGTGCCAATCACTGTGCTGGATGTTAGAGATACAGCCAAGAGCAAATGAGCAGTTTGGCCTTTGTGACAGTTCCGGTCTAGTGGAGAAGACCTCTTTTGAAGAAAGGACTAGCTGGTGCTGCTGGCCCTTGCCCAGGCTGACTGAATAGAGAGCAGTCAGGGGAGAGCTTGGAGAAACTGACTTTTAAGGTGAAACCTCGGGACAGGGGCAGGGGGATGAAAAGGGCGATTTAGGGGAAGGTCCTAAGGAAGGAATGTGTTTTGAGGAAAGAAGGCCCTCATAGCTAGTGCCTGGGTGAGAAGCAGAGAGGTCAGGCAAGGGTGTGGGCTTTCCTGGAAGATGAGGTAGGTACTTCAGTTAGCTCACTTGTTGGTGATACTGAAGACCAGACTCGGGGTCTCAAGCATGCTAGGCCAGTCTCTGCCTCTGAGCTCTGCCCTCAGCTGCAGCTTCAGAGAATTTTGAACTCAACGTCTGTCCGGAAACTTGCAGGTAACTTTCTCCAGTTGCTAGTTTGTTGCTGTGGATGCTGAAGTTGTCTGCAGCATGTTTGGATCTCATTCTCCATCAGAATTTTCCTTAATAAAGCCTGTCCCTTTAGTCTCAGCTTCCCCCAGGGCTTATAAATTAGGCCTGGTTGGCTGGGTTAGGTTTTAAGGTTACTGGGGTGCTGTCCTTAGATTATGGGGATGATGGGATTTTTAGTTTGCTATGGAGGAGACAAAAAGTCTATACTTGTAGGGCATTCTGACGACTTTGGGAGTCTTCCTGGGGCCAAGGAGAGAATACAGATGTTCTTCTGAACTGGTGTGAATAGTGTTCTGTCATCTGATCATCTGGGTTGTGTTTCTGCACAGGACACATAACCTAAGTCTTGCTGTGCATGCAAGTAAATGAGTACCCGACGGGAGGACTGTCGTGACCTGGAATGTCTGTAAGCGTTTTATCTGGGACCGTTATAAGAGTGGAAGAGCATTTGTATCTGCAAGTGTGCTGACTTTCGTTCAGAAATCACAGCGTTCAAAGCCCAGATGGTCCTGTTTGATGGAGCACTTTTCTTATGTAATTGGATCAGCTTGTCCTGCTTTCATAACTTCAAGTAGACTCTTGATTTAGCAGCCTATCGCTGGTGATCAAGGAATGACAATGTGCGAGCTTTTCTAGCATTTCAGTGCAAAGCATCTGCATTTCTGGTGGCTCAAGGGTATTAGAATGTGAGAGAAGAGACTTCAACAGGAAAAGTCATGGCGCTGTTATTAGATTATCTGTGGTGAGTTGGGACTTAGTACATTCTGTTTGAAATGAGGCATGACACCTCTCTGTGTGTGAAGTCTGATGAGCGTTTCATGGAGCATCTGCTTAAGTTTCTTTCAGGCCTTTTCTTAGTGGAGTCTGTTGTCAGGTTTTCTTCCTGTGTCTGTCTGTGTGTACTGTTCTGCATTGTGTTTGGGATGTGGACATGAAGGAAGGACGCTCTGATGGAGATGGGCAGCTAGTTAGAAGAGGTATGGCTGGCTGACAGTGAGAGTAGCCTGTTTTGCTGTCAGTGACTAGGTGTCTGCCGTTCTTGTTTGTAATAGATCCCCCACCCCAAGTTTTGGCTGGCCTGGACCGCTGGGACTTGTTTTCAGTGTAACGTTACTGTTAAAAAAACATTGGCATCAGGTGGTGGTGATGCGTGCCTTTAATCCTAGCACTCGGGAGGCAGCGGCAGGCAGATCTCTGTGAGTTCAAGGCCAGCCTGGTCTACAGAGTGAGTCCCCAGGACAGCCAGGGCTACACAATGAAAGCCTGTCTCGAAAAACATAAACAAATAAACAAAATTTATTTAAAGAAATAAGTCCTGCTGTGTCACCTATGCTGGCTCCAAATTTCTAGGCTCAAGCCATTTCCTGCTTCAGCCTCCTGAATAGTTGGGACTGTGACTGGGTGTCACTACACCCGGTTTGGTCATGATTTCTTTTAGTGTCCTAGAGGTTGCTCATGCATTTGGCCTCTGATAGAGTAAGTGCTGAGATCACTCATCACCCTATGGTTACACCCAGACTATGGCACAGATCCAGGTCACCACGGGCAGCCTGACTCCATTAGAGTTTCAAGCAAGACACAAGTGCTAATGTCCTTCTAGTTTTTCTTTACTGTTGGTGAGTATGTGCTTGTGGTCTGCTGTGGTGTGTGTGCAGGGGTCAGAGGATGTCTGTATGGAGTGGTTTCTTGTCCTCCACCTTTACTTAGGTTCCAGGTATCAGATTCAGGTTGTTGGGTTTGAGGGGCAGGCACCTTTACCTGCTGAGCCACTTTGCGGACAGGCAGTAAACTTTTTTACTCTATTTATTTGCTTTGGTAGCATATCCAACACTGACTTTCTCTGTGTAACCCTGGCTGTCCTGGAACTCGCTCTGTAGCCCAGGCTGGTCTCAAACTCAGAGATCGCCTGCCTCTGCCTCCGAGTGCTGCGATTAAAGTCGTGTGCCAATGCTGCCTAGCCTTTTTTTCTTTTAATTTAACTTCTTTATTGACTCTTTGGGAGTTTCACATCACGCACCCCAATTCTGCTCACCTCCTATTCCCCCAAATCCTCCTCTCACCCCTGCCACGCCCCCCATAAAAGAAAACAACAAAATAAACAGGCAAACAAACAAGCAAAAACAAAAGAAACCCAATGAACCAAAACAACAAAAATCTCTTTGCTTCTCCTTCTCTCCCGCCTCTCCAACATCTCATCATTGGTCCTGATGGCATTGGGAGCCTCGTTGTATCACATAGTATACCCCCTTGTCAGTCAGCTTTACTAGCAAATGTTCAGTGCAGTGAGTCACTCGTCGGTTCAAAGCCTCTGGTTTCTGGTACACCATCATCAGTGGATCCTCACCAGAACTCCCCTGGGATAGTCTACCCCCACCCCCTCAGTCTTGGAGATCCTGCTGGTATTGTTCCACAGCACCAGTCCTTTCACAGGCTCCTGCAGTTCCTAGATGGGGTAGATGCTAGTGTGGGCCTATCCAAGGCCCGGCTATGTGCCTGGGTGGTAGCCGAGCTGGTCAGTACAGGCCACTGTGGCCACCTTCCTCAGCTCCCCTACCCTGGTAGGTTCAGCCTCTGTCCAGCGAGAGGCAAGGCCAGCTTTCCCAGGGCCATCGAAGGGTGGGGCCAGTTCAGCATGGCCCTCTGATTTCATCTCAATGGTTCCTAAGGCCTCCTGAGGTGACCCAGACCCAGACATCAACACAGACCCCAGCTGCAGCTGGACCACAGACCCAGACATGACCCTCAGCAGCAGCTTGGGCCCAGGGCCCTGCCTGTGGGTGGAAGGAATGGCCACTCAGATGGGAATGGCTGCCAGATACAACCAAGGCCTCAGGTTGTGACCCCACCCCTGAGCCTCTGTGTGACCATTGGTGACAATACAGGACCCAGACTTGAGCACAGACCCCAGCCTCAGGAGGACCATGGTCCCCAGCATGGTCCTTGGCAGCAGATGGGCTGGATGGCTTGGGCCTTATTTTTTTTTTTTTTGGTTTTTTGAGACAGGGTTTCTCTGTGTAGCTTTGCGCCTTTACTGGGACTCACTTGGTAGCCCAGGCTGGCCTCGAACTCACAGAGATCCACCTGGCTCTGCCTCCCGAGTGCTGGGATTAAAGGCGTGCGCCACCACCACCCGGCTGGGCCTTATTTTTATGAGGCAGTTTTGCTTATACTCTCTTTTTAAAACATGGCACAAATACACACATGATTAAAAATAAAGTAAGTCTTAAACAGAACTAAAGTAAAAAAGCTGGGAACAGGATGGTTGGGTGGGTAAATTCACTCACTGCCAAACCTGTCAATCTGAACTCCATCTCCAGGACCTGCACAGAAGAGACCTTACTCCCCAAGTCATCCTCTGTGCTCTGACATCAGAGTGCACCGTGGGCACGCACACACACATACACACACACACACACACACACACACACACACCCCATTAAAAAAAAAATAGAGCCTGCCACTCAAGCCTGGTGACCTGGGTTCAATCCCCGGAAACCACATAAAAGTGAACTGAACAAACCAACTCCACAGAGTCCTCTGACCCCCCACATGTACACTGTGGAACATACACACAAATGAATAATAAGTGGTGGGGGAGCAGTGAGGCAGTCACTAGGTAGCCCAAGCTGGCCTTAGTTTTGCTTTGTAGCTGAGGAAGTCCTTAAACTTCTGGTCTGCCTGCTTTCACCTCCCAGGTGTTAGAATCACAGGCATCCATGCCCAGGTTTTTGTTGTTATTGTTTTTTGAGACAGGGTTTTTCTGTATAGCCCTGGCTGTCCTGGAACTCACTCTGTAGACCAGGCTGGCCTCAAACTCACAGAGATCCGCCTGCTTCTGCCTATGGAGTGCTGGGATTAAAGGCGTGAACTACCACCACATGGCTCTCTTTCTCTTTTTAAAAAAGCAAAAACCAAACCACGATTGCATTATGTAGCCCGAACTGGCTTTGATTTGGAAGCACTTCTGCCTCAGCTTCCTGAGAGCTAGATTACAGGCAAGAGCCTCCATACCCAGCTTGTCTTCTTATTAAAACAGTAAGAATACATAGTTCAGGGGCTAGAGAGATGGCGTAGCAGTTAAGAGCACTGGCTGCTCTTCCAGAGAACCTGGGTTCAATTCCCAGCAACCACATGGCAGCTCACAATAGTCTGTAACTCCAGTTCCAGTGGATCTGACTCCCTCACAAAGACATGCAGGTCAAACACCAATGCATTAAAAAAAATATATACATAGTTTCAAGATTCAAATAGAACTGAGTGTGGTGGTACACGACTTTAATCCCAGCATTCAGGGGGCAGAGGCAGGTGGATGTCTGAGTTTGAGGCCAGCCTGGTCTACAGAGTGAATTACAGGACAGCCAGCGCTAAACAACTTTGTGTTTCAGTTCTCTTTGTTCCCCATTAGGTGGGTTCTAGGGATTGGAATTATATCACCAGGGTTTTTTGTTTGTTTGTTTTTGTTTTGTTTTAAGGTTTACTTATTTATTATGTATACAGTATTCTGTCTTCATGTATGCCTGCACGCCAGAAGAGGGTACTAGATCTCATTGTAGATGGTTGTGAGCCACCAAGTGGTTGCTGGGAATTGAACTCAGGACCTGTGGAAGAGCAGCCAGTGCTCTTAACCCCTGAGCCATCTCTCCAGCCCCTGTTTTGTTTTTGAAATAGGGTTTCTCTTTGTAATAGCCCTAGCTGTCCAGGAACTTGCTTTGTAGACTAGGTTGGCCTTGAACTCAGAGATCCGACTGCCTCTGTCTCCTGAGTGCTGGGATTAAAGGCGTGTTCCACTACCACCTGGCTCTGCGTTTGTGTCTTAAACAGATATCCTAAATATGACTTATTACAGGTGAGCTCAGAAACCCCGCTTTAGAAGAGTTCTTTGTAGCCAGGTGGTGGTGGCGCACACCTTTAATTCCAGCGCTCGGAGGCAGAGCCAGGAGGATCTCTGTGAGTTCAAAGCCAGCCTGGGCTACAGAGTGAGTTTCAGGAAAGACACAAAGCTACACAGAGAAACCCTGTCTCCAAAAACCAAAACCAAAACAAAACAAAAAAAAAAAAAAAGAGTTCTTTGTAAACATTGGTGCCCTCTTACATCTCCAGGGCAAACTCCGTGGGCTTTCTCTAGTATTGCCTTTATATTCACAGTTTTCAGTCTGTCTAGCTTTGGTCTTTTGGTCTGGATTTCTAAATTAGAATATGTGTCTTTTGTCTGACTAATTCCTCTCTTCCTGAGAGTGCTTCCCCCATTCTTGAGGAATTTATTCAGGTAATTCTTTAGTAAAGGAGCAAAGTCAGTCAGTATCCTAAATCTTGACCTTCCCTAGTATTAAAGCTGGCTGATGGTAATAAATTTTAGCTGTGTGACTCCATTTTTCTTGCCGATGTCTCTAAGCACCCTGGTTGCTGGGAGATGTGGGTGGGGAGGAAATATTAATTATAAACATTGAGCTACTCTATCATTTAACTGTCAAAATTCAGGACTGTGGTAATGTCTCTGGTGAAATGGAAAATGGATGCAGTCTTTGAAAGAACATGTAAATCATCTGCCTTGGATTTTCACAACGTCTTTTTGGAGATGATAATGCACTGAGATTTTGAAGTTGGGTTTTTGGTTTTGGAGACAGGGTCTCAAGTAACTCAAGCTCTCAATCCTGCCTCTACCTCCCAAGTGCTAGGATTGTAGACATGTGCCACCAAGCCTGGCTTTTTAACTGTGACCATATGAAGGGCACATTGGCATCT